CTATAGTTGGTCGGGGCGGTGAAGATGGGGGCGGTCGGGAATTCTGCCAGTCTGTATCTACCCCAACTAAATTTTTACAATACAAACTTCTGCTGGCTATATATTATTTTCCCAAGCGATTGACACGCTGCAAAATGGACAGTTGATACAAGGGATAGCTCCAAGTAATCTGGCCAATTCTGAGCCTGATCGGATCGGGGGGGGCATTACAAGTCCACGTGGGCAATTTTAAAACGAATCCACGTCGACCCTAAACGCGCCCGCCCGCCAAACGGGGCCCCACCCCAAACCGAACGCACTGCATTCCTCCACCCCTTCTGGGTTAGGCCACACCATATTCTCTAGCATTTACAGTATTGAAAGTGACTATTGACAGTCACCTGATAATGGAATTGCCAACTGCTGCTGGTTGTGCCAAATGGGACAAAGTCAAAAATGATATCTTTATGTGTATTGCTAGGTCCTCGATAACAGCGGAGCCGGCTGCAGCATCATATTATAATCTAGAAAAGGATCACTCGTTTTCCAAACATATATATGCTGGGGGGTTACAAGCTTGTGTCATTGTCCGCTATCAGAAAAGCCCTGTCGGTAAGCAACTACCCAGCTTTAGAGCACGTGAGAATGGTAAATGGTAGATTCGTCTTCCTATCATCCCACCCAACTTCGAAACCAGCATTTGAAACATTTGCTTTGCCTGGGGTTTAGCAACAATGACGCGGACTAAGCGAGAGCTATCTGCCAGGGAAGACGCTACCATGGGGATGATGACAGATGATTTTCCCTCTCCATGTTCAGCTGCAAAACTGTGTTTTTGCCGGTCTCTCCACTTCTCATCTTCTGGGCGATATCTTCTTAATTGCCACGGATCATAAGACCACTTTCAACCTCCAGAAGCAGAGACTCAGGGAAATCATATAGATTCCAGTTCCTATGGCCTGGGTTCTCAAGCACTCTAATCAGATCTTTTTTGTTATCAACGCAGTTTAATAATCTTCTTGCGCGTTGCAGTCCAGCCAGGGCAAGACCATATCCGATGATGCTATCCTTCCAAGAATCTGGCATGTAGCGAAACCGGTTATATCTGAGCTGCTCCAAAAAAAGTGTCGGGGATAGGCGTGGCCAAATATTAGCATCGGCCATTATCTGCAAACATATTTGGTGTTGTGTGCATGCCGCGAGGTTCTTTGGGCTGGCGGCTGGTATAAGTATTTTGTAAAGAAATTCAGCATAGTCCTTCCAATAGCCCAGATGCTTATTAACACTACTAGCTATGTCAATGTCTTTCAGGCGAGCCTCTGCGTCTCCATGATGCTCCTTCCAGCTCTCAAGGCTACCACGTAAGTGTGTAACATAAGCCTTCTCATAGCTCGAACTGGCTTGTCTTCTCACGCCCTCAATAACCAGGTTCAGACGAATGTGCTAGAATGCAGATGCCAGCACGAGTATGCCAGAACGGATAACAGCGTCTTTATAAAGCCGACCATGGCGCCACCATTCAAGGCGTCAGACCGTAATAGATAAAGGTTAAGATACATGAAGGCTTCAAGACGCGAATTATTGTTTCTTAAGTTAAATATAGCCCTCGAGATGTCCAGCGCATTCGACTTGAGCGTGAACGATCCGAAACGGAAATGTCGCGACGCAAAACCCGCGCCGGCCGCTGAAGCGTGTCACACGCGAAATGAAGAACTATCTATGCGATAACATGACCGAAAATCCTAAGTTATATCTTGAAAAGATGGTCGAAATGCTACTAGAGAAATTGGACGGAAAGATCTCGCCAAGTACAGTCAGTTCACGAAGAAAATGCGGCGCATCGCCAAGGAGCGAGTTCACGAACTTCGAGACTATTATTATTAAGGCTCGGCGAGCAAGCCAAACTAATACCGAACAAAATAATACCACCTGCTTCACTGCTTTCAGCTCCAGACTGCCAAACATGCCGATCAATGTTATCATCCAGCTTTATTCCTAACTATATAGCTTTGAGGCCCCTGACAATCTTCCCAATAGCCATTATTCTTATGCCAAGGGACCCAGTTCAACGTGCGCTGCGCGGTGCAGCTCTCGCAATGGACAGTTTTGGTTACGCGGAATCGGTATATCAGCGCTGTCAGGGTCGAGAAAGTACTTAAAATGATCAGGCGCAACTTGTAGGACGCATGTAAGGGTATTATAAGTGGCGCCTGGTGGAAAAGTCTCTGGACTGCGGTTAGCCAGTTGCTTGTACGAGTGAGTAATTGAATCTGGAACACATACCAACGTCCTCTAAGAGATTTTGGGTACATTGCTGATAGGCTGGGTCACAAGTCGGCAGGATCTGTTTAGCTTTTGCAGCTGCAACAATATCAAACGCCGGTTGATGGGCCTCCTTAGCAAAATCAACACACTGATCCGGCATATCAGGGCACTATTAGCGAGATTTAGTTAGCTAATAGTGGTTCAAAATTGTAATTAGTAGTTGGCAGGCCACACCTTTTCCTTGATGAGACTGATCCAGCCCGACTCACTCCTTGCCTGCGGGGCGGCCAGGACGGCGGGGGCTAGGAGAGCGGCGATAGAGATGAACTACACACTCTATTAGCAGTATTTCTTGCTGTTGCGAAGTATTGATTCTTTACCTTCATGGTTTCTTTATCGCGTGCGATTTCAGTGGATGTAATGAGTATAAAAGAAAGGATAGAGAGGAAATGGTAGAGAGGAAGACTTTAGATTTATATAACACAGCTTTAGGCGGTGACCAGGCATGTATATATTAAGATAGGGGGTAAGTACTCAGATTAATAATTATGATAGCCATAACTATAACTAGATCGTGGAGTTTACTCCACAGTGGCACAGATATCTACATGGCTGGCTGAATCTGAAACTCAAAATACATCTTCCTGCTGCAGTTTATCTTATTAAGTAAATTGGCACCCGAGTCTAAGGTTTCGATGAACTCTTGTATAAAGTAATCTTTTTTTATAAGGTATTAATTTCGCCAACTTTACAGATATATCTATTTATTATTAATCTATCTATATTCTAGTACTACTGTCAGAGTGGTGCGGTTCTCGAATTCTTTAGAAGCTGGCAATCAACTCAGCTCAGCAATTTATCCAGGAGGTAATGACCGTGCGACAAGCTGAACTGCGGGGCAAGCTAACTGATGGATCTAGTGGATGCCATAGTACATGCTAGGAGATCCGATTCAGAAGATTTAAAAACTTTAATTAAGCGAAAACGAGGGTCTATACCATTTGCCGCTCTTGCAGGCGGGCTTTTGTTACCGTCATTGTTAGCGTGTTCAAAGGTTACAGCCGTATCTACAGCAATGTCGGTGATTGGTTATGGTTTTGCGTTGGCGATGATCGCTGTGTCCTCATAAGGGAAGGAGCGGATCAATATATTAGAAGGAAACGATATACGAAGAGCCCCACAGGGATCGGCACAATCTTTTCGCACTACTCGGCATATATTTGACCCACAGTTCGCACTATTGGAAGCTCCTCTTCTGCTGTATCTCCCCCCCTTTTTACCAATCACTACTCCGGCACAGGAACCAGAGATTCGGATGATATTCTATCCGGTGTAAATAGACCAGAGTAGACTAAATCGCTTAATCGAAATATATACTGACTTTACATCGGAGCTTCATTAACATTTTAAGAGGGTACTGTTTTTTCGTGCACATTCCTTTGTGAAATCTGACCGATCGTCGCGGATGGATCACGACGGTCACAACTATGGCGATTATAAGTGGGTTAAAAGCAGTGTTAGGTAATAATATCCGGAATATGGCGCTCCTTCTGGAGCTGATGTAAAATGTGGTAAGGTGTCACTGAAATATCGCTAGACCGCTTGAGTTTACATGTTGACAGATCATCGGCACATCGCCTCAGCCTTGGATAAATTGGGCTTCGGCGCTCGATCGACTATTTACGAAGTACTATTGAAAAGTGGTCTGGATTGTGGGTACGTGATCTGCATTATTCTTGTGGCAGTACTTTTACGCTGGTAAGTTATCAGCGCCACTGTATACCATCCATAGAAGACGGAATAGACATACTCCGGTTGATATAGGTGGATTAAACGGGATCTCCAAGCTCTTTAGGTGATCTACTAAGTATGGTCAGATCGATTGAGCGTACAATTATCAATCACCATTTTCAGATTGAGCAAGCACTTGCAAATGAGCATATTCAGACGCCTAGTGATTTACGGGCAGAATCACTATTCTGCGAGGTTATTCATCGTATTTCAATCTACGCACTGAACAAGGTGCTTAGTATACAAAACCGCTATCTACCGATAGGCCCAGGAAAGCCTCCAATTGAACGTTATACAGGGATTACTACTAAAACACTAGAAATCCCATGTATCCATATTATTCTACATCATCGCGTATCTAGGGAGCCGCTGCCTATCTCAGTCTTCCATCCTCAGTGGCTGATATCGTGGGATAGTCCGCTGGAACCGCTTGATCTATCTAATCTAGATCCCGATCCACCAATTGAATGGCCTCATCTACTAGTGTATAAGTGAACTGTTTTGCTGCAAGTTGGGTCCTGTTACCTGATTCGGATGCCGCCGCTTTTATGAGGGCAGTATGTGAGTGCTCTGTGTTCACTCCGGGCTACAACACAAACTTTTGCGTGTATATAACATATACAGGGGGTTGAATAGATACCTATATTACAAATAGCTTCTGTATTAAGTATATTATCTAGATATGTTATATATATATCTACTGTATAGAACTTGTCCGGGACTGATTCTATTGTGTTGTTCTGTATTTTATGCCATTGTTTTCCTGTGGGCGCACATTAACCCTGACTATATTTATCTAGAGTGGAAAGGTACTGTTGGTCTTTTTAATATTATGACACTTCTCTCTATAAAAAACGGCTTGTAGTTTATAAGTTATGATCTCTAGAACTCAGTAGTATATACTGGTACCTTTACACAATTATATGCTACAGGTAGTATTGCCTAACAGGGGAATATCGGCCACTAATAATCAATATGACGATCAGCATAAGGAGGCTGAGCTGAGCCACATATAATAGCGGTGCCATACTACCCTCTCTTCGCCATCCGCAGTCGCAAAAATTGCGAGGTAGTCAAAGCAAAATAGAGGGCCATCGAATATAATAAAAGATAGATTCTATCGGAGATTGCGACCGAGGTAATGTTGATCGGGCAGGTATGAAGAACACAGTTTACGTTATATTTCCATTCTAAGGACGTTAGACAGAGTTATCAAAATATAAAATAATAATTACTATTTACTATACTATTCCAAGTGGCCCCGTCGGGTAGTCTTGGGAAATGAATCGACGAAGTAGATAGGAACAGAACAGTCAATAAGATCTTGTGCGGTAAACTATCCTGGTAACCTCCGGTTTCTAATCTAGATACAGCAGTAGAGTTTGCCTCAAGAAATCGACTAATATCTCATACTTATAAATTCCTTACGCGGTTGTTCCAATGTAATTGAAAAGAGAAATAAACAGAAAGACTACAGCAGTATAGAATAATCCATACGGGCCTTTGTGTTATACGGGTACCATACAATAACAAAGATATAAGAGTATTAATTAAGTTTTATCATTTCTAAAAACACAGACATATCAGTGGCGGTTCCGAACACCCACCGCCTTCCGCCGGTGGGTGTTCGGCAGCCTAAAGGAATTTTCAGCGTAAAGGAAGAAAATGAAGCAAT